GAGGGCGCGCCCCGGCCTTGCGGGTCCCCCTCCAGACAGAGCAGAGGCCTCTGCGCCCCCCCCCCCCCCGCCCTGTGCCCGGTCCCCCTCCCCACCGGTCAGTGGGATGGAGAGCCCTCGAGGGAGGAAGAGGGGAAAGGCAAGCGGGGATGCAGCCCTGGGAATGCAGGGCAGGTTCAGGTGAGGGATGCATCCTCCCCATCCAGAGGCAGTTCACCTCTGTGCTAAATGGTGGGAGGGGCACCCACAGGGCCCCTTTGCACCCGGCTGAGCCACAGATCAGTCTTGCAGTCTCTTGGGCTCTCCAAGGCCCCATTCAACCCCTTTATAAAGGCTGCCTGAAGGGAGACGCTTGCCAGATTGGCAGGGGCCTGAAGGCGCCGCAGGGCCGACAGAACGACAGTTCGAAGGACCTCGACCGGCCTGAATCCAGAGGTGGTTGTTGCTCTGTAACAGTGTAGGATGACCGATCCTGAGAGGAAAATCAGCCGAGAGATCTGGTGAGGCAGGCGAGAAGGATCTAGGGGTCTTAATGGGCCCCCAGCTGCACATGAGCCAGTACTGTGATGCTGCAGCTTAAAAGGCCAATGCCACGGTGAGCTGCACGAACAGGAGCATTGCCTCCAGATCATGAAAGACAATAACGACATTGTGCTCTTTGCTGGCCGCACCACCCCGGGCCTCTGTTTCCATTGCCGGCATTGCGCTTCGAGAGAGAAGCGGGAGTGGGTTCAACGGAGGATCAGGGTCGAGAACCAGGCCTGAAGGAAACGGGCACCTTCAGCTCACAAGGGACAAGGGGGCTCACAAGAGATCGGATGTGGGTCTGCCACTGCCCCAAAGGCTGCCACGTGCATGAAAGAGGGGGCCGATCGTGCCCTGATGGAGCCAAGAGCAGGGCGAAGACCAAGGGCTTGCAATTAAACGAGAGGAGATTCGGGTGGGATATGAGGGGGAAATTGGTGGTGGGAATTGCCGTGAGGCGGGGAGCAGCTTGCCCCCTCCCTGGAGGTCTTCAACAGGGTCTGGGTGGCCACATATGAGCAGGGGGGTGGGTTGGATGACTTAAAACAGTGTTGTCTTAAACTTGGGCCCGCCCTCCTTATAAAGAGGCTCTGTCCATCACCAAAACGATAGTGTGTATTTAGCGCACTTTTATACCAGAGCACT